CACTTGGGTCATATGGTTTCTCTGCTTTGCCTCAAGATGAAGTGCTCTCTAGACGTATGTAGCGCGGTTACATACACCTGTAGCGTCATGATGGGACTGTTTTCCACCTAAAGGTCATTTCCCCTCTCTCCCATGAAGAACTAATCTCCTTGAGATATTGCTCAAGGCCTTTGATGCCTCTGCATCTAAACTGTTCCAACTAGCTATTTGTCTCTCCCTACAGCTCGAAAGAAGACCAAGAAGAACTCTTTTAGAAATCAGAAGAACTCTATTAAATAATAATTAAATATTGTCTGTTAGTCCCAATAATAATGTGAGCCTAATGTTCAATCAATCTGTGAAACGAGAATATTAATTACTTGATATTATAATCCTATGAGAGTATATAAGTAATATAACCTTAAACTAGACACTAGACTGATCACACGTAATGCTAAAGTCACATGACACATTTCCTGTTTCTCATCCAATCAGAGCTTCCCTTACTGATGCGTGGCGTGGTCTGTGCGGTGTTTATTTTGTTGTCAAATCCTGAGTCAACCATAAATCAAAACATCTGGATTATAAAACTAATCCCTACGTCACCCTTAACTCAGTGTTCAAACGTTCTAGAGTTTCAAGCTAGCCACTCGTAACTTTTTAACCACAAAGAACCTTGACAAGCTGGATAACAAAACCTGTTGCAAGCTACACTTGAAATCAACGCTCCTTCAGAGTAAAAGCTGAACTCACTGACCCTTCAGGGTCCCGCCGACGCTGTCGCTCACCTGGAAGCATTCCAAGACTAGTCTGTCATACCGTACGCCGTTTCATCGGCTTCGGTACCAAAGGGGGGTCCGAGGACCTGGCATTCTGGATCTACAACGGATGTCTCCGTCAAGGGTATGTAGAGCGGCAAGATAGCGTCTGAACGTGGTTTTTGAAACTCCGACTGTAGTTTAGATCAAAACCATTTGCTCCCACACAGAACTAACACTTCTCCAAAAATGAGAGTTCTGATAACAACATTCCACAATCCATTTTGCCTCATTCACACCTAGATCCATTCATCACACAGAGAGTTTGGAGTTGGTTAGCCTTGTTTTAAATTGTTTAGAAATAAATCTTCTTAAACTTTAAAACTTCTCTCTCTCTCTCTCTCTCTCTCTCTCTCTCTCTCTCTCTCTCTCTCTCTCTCTCTCTCTCTCTCTCTCTCTCTCTTGACTGGGTTAATACAAAGTGTTATTTAATCCCTGCAATAAAAAGTTCCGATCTTCTGGTTAAAGTAATATTCAAAGATCCACCAAATTGATTTCATATTTCCTAAGGAATCTCACATTTTATGGGTCATCACTTAAGATGTAACTAACGAATTGTTACACACCCATCGTCATTTGCGATAACAAAAATTAGCAACGCCCAGAGAGGTTGAATTGCAATATAAAGCACCATAAATCAGCAAAAGACCAGAAATAGTCTGTAACTGGAAGGAAATGTCACATCTCTCTTCTTCAGAATGAAAAATGAAAGTGATTCTGAAATATAATAAAGGATTCATCTTTTAGAGAAGGGCAATGTGTGTTTTCAAACTGATGACAGATGTAAGGATATGAGTCGTGATTCAATCCAGAGCTTTGAAATGAAATCCTTCAGTTGCATTAGAACATTGAAGCAGGGTAAGGAGGGTGGTCGCTTATTTTTAGCAAACACCCCGATGCCTTCATTGGTGCTTCTTTGATTTACAGCAGTGGGGATACATGAAAAAAACCACCGTTCCACCTACAGGATACTTCAGGTAAATACATCAACAAACAGGAAAAACGCTGGTGACTCCTGGTGCTCTGGTAAAAGCCAGACACCACCCTGATGCATGCTGCTCCAACACCTTACACATACTAATGTATTAGTTAGCTTCCAGAGGGTTGCACAAAACAAATGAACAAATATGAACCAATTATCACAATCAAAATAACAAATGAAAGTTAAATGAAAAATCATAGCTTCAACAAAACAATGATTGCCTAAATGTGTTTTGTTATCATTTTCATGATAATTATTGTTATACAGCACCGTTCTGTGACATCACTGTTAATTGATTTCCCTTTCCTGACATTTTAGGGCTCTTGGAGACTTTTCACATCAGTTGGACTGATAAAGCAAAAAAAAAAAAAAAAAAGTCAGTAGTCTACTTTCAACCAATGATTTTTCTAATGTGAACTGCTCGTTACATTAGACATGTTTGTGGAACTCCCGCCAGATTTGCAGAGATTTAAAATATTCTCTAACTTAAAGGGACTTTACAGAGTTTTGAATTTTTATGCTCGCGATTGCCCCCTCAGGCCAAAAGCGTAATGGCAACTTCAATAGTAGGCTCGTGCACAAGGCGCGCATGCTGGACGTGCACACTCCTTAACGAAAATAACAGCTGAGACAGTCCCTTGTGTGTGCGCGCGCGCGCGCGTGTGTGTGTGTGTGTGTGTGTGTGTGTGTGTGTGTGTGTGCGTGTGTGTGTGTGTGTGTGTGTGTGTGTGTGTGTGTGTGTGTGTGTGTGTGTGTGTGTGTGTGTGTGTGTGTGCGTGTGTGTGTGGCCCGGAGGACAGAGGACAGGAGAACATGCAGCTAATTAATTAAATATTTTGGTTCTGTACCTTTCTCTTCAGCACAGCCGACAAAGGTTTAAGATGGGTCAGTCCTCCTGCACGCTCAGATCATTCCCTTCCCTTGCTTGAAAAATTGTTCCAAAATGAAAGTTGAACCCGCATCTTTTTTATCTGTGAATTCAATGCCGTTCGGCGAGTCTCAAATAACAATTTGGGCATCTTACTGTAAAAAAAATACCATTAATGTAAAAAAATAAACTCTAAATAAACTGTGGTCAAATCCAGAATCAAACCCAGTCTTCTGCTCAAGAGTCCGACATTGTGAGCTAAAGCGCCAGTGACAGTCTATGTATCTGTAACATTTATATCCTTGATGACAGCTGAAACAATGTTCAAAGAACGATTCGGAGCAAAAATGGCTATTTTGTTGCTAATTTGCAGGAAACATCTAGAAGAAAGTTCTACAGAAAGTAGCTAAGGGTCCTCAGAAATGTAGCTAGCTTTGTCACTAGGCGTTGGGAACAGCGACAAAGTGGCACTACCTCACTCTCTGCTGCTAAAGCTACTGATAGCAAATGCTACGGGCGATGCCTGAGCGTGAACACGCATGAAGCAGCCTGCTCGACCCGAGCAACTCTCTTTTTCTGTGATTTTACAGAAAAACAGGCAATCACAGTAAAAATGCCAGGGCTCATTCTACAGGACCAGGGCATTGCAGGAGAATGTATGAAGAAGAAATGTATTATTTCTATACATGTTTTGGCTGTCAAACTTCCTTATAGTCCCTTTAAAGGAAACAAGTCTAGGAAATACAGCTCAATCAGAATTAGATGTCTGTCAGTGTTTTTTATTTCTTTATTCCTGTTTACGATCTCTGATCCTCACTGCTGCTGGTGTGTAAACATGTAGCCTAAAACACAGAAAGGTGTTGAAAATGTGATTTTCACTTCATTTATGGTGTTTTGAAAAAAGTGCCACATTTATTCTGTGGAGATAGCAACTCCAACTGAAAGACAGTTTACCACAATGAAAGCCTCCAGAGTGATTTTTATTTACCAATGATCAGCTCCTCTTCAGTTGTAGTACAGTACTCTGCTGCCCTCTTCCTTTAGGTTTTATTCGGTTTTATTTAACCCTCTGAGACTCTGCTGCTCACGTCTGCAGAAAGAGCCCCCTCTGCTGGACATATGCAGTACTGCTGAGAAAAACCTGCAGAGTAAAACTACATAATTTTATTTTCTTCTTTAAACAGTTTTGATTCCTTCTTGCACACTTTTTAAAGCTGTTAAATCAGAGTGTGTCATTCATGAAGAGAGCAGAATCTCTGTGTGTGTGTGTGTGTGTTCATAATCTGACTCGAGCCTGTTTTCTATCACACTGACACTACACTCCCAAACTGTGAACGTGTGACAAACGACAAAGAGCCAGAAGTGATGTCTGCCCTTGCACTGACTCAGCTGTGCTGCAGGAATAAAGCTTATGAAATATCAGCCCAAAGGAGAATAAAAAAGGTGGTGGTGGGTTCGTGATGTCTGCTGACTGAATCAGTCCTCACCACCACCACCCTTGTTTAGATCAATGCGGCTGCAGAATCAGCAGAATGAAGCTTAGAGGAGAAAGAACCAAAGTTAGCTGCTGACACGCTTTCTGAGGCAGAAAACATCATTACAGCCTCGCAGCTGTCACTTCCTATCTGGGCCTCCTCATTGAGTTGCGGGCCGAGCATTTGCTGCCACCATGTGATGACTCCAACGCTCTGCAGGAGTCAACAACTCCTGGTGATGACATTGATTCGTTCCACTGCATTATTTACAAGGCCAGGAAACTAATCGAGCAGCCTGAGCGTCTTCGGAGACGTTTATATGGAGTTAACAAAGTGCTCGGTCACGGTCGTTTCCGGTGCCGCAGCAGATTAGTCGAATACGCTCGTGGGATAAACAGTGGAGCCAACGCCGTCCCTGACAGAGCGAACCACACAAAGACCACACTCATAAACACAGCTCGCTTCAGAGCCGTGCTCAACAGATGGTTGGAAAAGTCACGGCCTCCTGTGTGATGCAGCTCGTTCATCACGCGCAGACCTAAAAAGTAAGGTCAGGCTAGATTTGATCAGAAGATCCATTCTAAGATAACAAATCTTTCTGGTCCACTGGCATAGTTTTGGCTTCTTCTTAACCTCAAACATGTACACAAATGTTGTTGACTGACTTTTATGCACCATTCTCCCCCTAATTCACTAAAATGATTACACTGTAAATCCAACCAACACTGCAGTTACACAACTTACCGAAACAAATGGATTTTGCAGAATCAAAGGAGTGCATTATTCAAAAGTAGTTACACGCTGGAAATGTTTTCTTACATAAACATGAAAAATTTAACGAGCTTTCATAACGGGTCTATAAAAACACGACTCATGGAAAGCGTTTCAACCATTTCAAGTTTATTCAACACTCGCATTTACATTAAAAAACGGGACTTGTTGGCTATTTTAAGTGTGTTCCTGTGTACGTTATAAATATTTACTCTCCAGCTCACTGCAGACAGCTTCCTGAACAGCCTCTGTTCATAGAACTAGAACATGTCCTTCAGGACTAATGAGCTAGAGGCTAGTCAGAGCAAGGGGAGTGCTGCCGCCTCACAGCGGTTTGTGCTAATAAACCTGACATCTCCGACAGCTTCACAGTAGACGTTGGGATACTTGACTAAATTCCTTAAAATGCTACATTTTATTTATGCTAGGAAACAACACTAACACCTAACATTAAATAAAAACTGTACCGCATTAAGAAACCTCATAGACTTAAGAGATCGAAACTGATAAGACTAGCTTAAGTCATTATTCCAAATTCTCTTTTTCTCCATATAGAGGCTGTTCAGGAAGCTAAGGCTAATAGCGATAACGGTGTTTATTTAAAACATTACATGGAAACACACATCAAAACGTCTAACGCTTCCCTTCAAATCACCAAACATTTCCAGTACAAAAGAGTCATTTTATTAAAACCAACCCTTTCTAATTCAAGCGTTTCACTACAGGAAACAACCAGAGCAGAAAACCGGGCTGATTTGTTCTCGAATGCAGGATTAAACCTTTAATTCACTCTGACAAGGTCTGAAAATGAAGGACAGAAACTCACCCATAAATAATACAACACAGTCTGCAGATGTGTGCATCAGTCAAAAAAAAACATCAGACATTTTCTGACACATTAATGTACATGGACGGTGTCAAACCAGAAGACAGACTCTTTCAGCTAACGGATCCGTTTCTGTGGAAGCGGATGAAGAACACCTTCTGGGTTTGGTGAGAAATTTCACCCAGCAGGCTCCGCTACCCCCTCCCTTCCTGCTGTGCCCTGGGGTTAAAGCCTGAGCACAAACCCTGCTGTCTGGCTTCTAGATGGTACCGTGTTGAGTGTTGGTGCCCATGGGTGGAGGAGGGGAGGAGAAAGGTTGTGGCTCCCTGCCTGTCTGTCCATCTCCACTGGCCTCAGTAGCTGATACAGGTGGCTTTAATCGTGTTTGCCCTTGCTTTTAGGCACCCCTTCGTTCCAGGCCACGTACACGAACAGGGCCAGGACCACGTGCACGGCCAGCACAGCAACGATGGCAGCGTAGAAGTAGCTGTCGGAACTGGACATCTCCATCGAGCCTGAGAGGAGGACGAAGAATTACATCAATGCTGAAAACTTTCCCCCTTTAACAACACAGAACAAGCAGGTTATATTACAGTTGTTAAAAGAGACCAGATTTGATTGAAACGGGAAAAATGCACACGGGAAGTCTTCTAGATTCTAGGCATTAAATATGTAAACAAACAAACAATCTCATGAGAGTTTCAGGAAGTTGGTAAACAAACAACAGCGTTCTCAGCAATGATCAGTCCTGATACCACAAGCAGCTCAGACACATTTTTGTCCTGCTGCTCCTTTCTGGTAAACTGAGTTTGAAATACATCTGCAGTGAACGAATGCCCTGAAAGTGGTTCTCTGGGAGAAAAGAGGCTCTGCTGCATCTGTTTGAAGATGTGGAAGTTATACCGGGGAGAAAGTAGAGGAGACGACATTTCCTGATATTTGGACATCTCTCCTCAGATCGGATAACAGCAACAAGACCAAAGCCTGATTTATACTTCTCCGTCTGCATCGGTGCGGAGACACACAACGCCACTATGCATCGGCATTAGGGCTCTCTGACGGGCTCACAGAGGGTGACGGAGACATGCCCAAAATTTTAAACATCCGTTGAAAAAGTGACAGAGAACGCAAGCTTGTGATTGCTCAGGACGCTGCTTCCTGTATATTCGTCACCAGCACCACTGTAGATCCGTTAAAAAGTAAACAGCAGAAACAACAACAAACTACTACTACTACAAACGGAGGAAACGTGGACAGAAACAACAGAAAACGTGGGTTTAGAGGTGGCGACCGCATGAAGAGGTGGAGGAGAAAGGACAAATTTGTCCGTGTTACAAAGTCTCTGAAAAATATAAACACCTTAGTAAATACTGAATCTGGGACCAGATACATGAGTGCTATGGTGGCAGGATACCACAGAACAGCGCTACGCCCTCTGTTGTCCTGGCGGGGAATCGCTTTGCAACGCTCCGCTGCCTGAACAGAAGTTCGGATGTGAAAACGTTTCTGGCACTCCGTTGCGGAGCTCACAGAGAAGTATAAGTCAGGCTCAACACGGACTCAGTTTGTAATGTGGATGTTTAATCTCCACGAATAACACAACCCTGAAGGAGTTCTGCCATGTGGTGGTGTTGCTCATGGCAACGGTTAGCTTCTACTAGTCCAGACGTTCTCAGCTGTTACCTGGACGCTAAAACAACAACAGCCTTCCTCGTCCAGAGTCATGATGGGTGAGTCCATGAATGTTAAGTGACAGTGTGACATAGATCTGTCAGGATTTTCAGATTCAAATTCTAGAGTTTCACCGTCTATTTTCTATCAGAAGCTAATGCGGGAGATAGGTGTAGGAGACCATTTTCATGTTACACACACACACACACACACACACACACACACACACACACACACACACACACACACACCTCATTTCATCCATACAATTCATATAAACGTCATATTTGGCAACTTTCACTGAAAAGCAACAAGTTTGCAGGTAATGCCCTCAGAATAATCAGGTGACAGATATGGGGGCTTGCAGTGGCCAAAATACCTCAGAAACTAGCAAAAGCCTTCCCCTACTGGCTGAAAAGAGTGAGATTCCAGCCATGTTTCTACATGGAAATAAAAACACAAATAACATAAAATTCATGTTTTGAAATCAACCTTTTACATATGGAAAGATTTTTTTTCAAATGATAAAACCAGTTTTGTTGTGTGACCCTAAAGCATATGACTAGAGGCACACTTCCTCTGAACGGCATGTGTAAAACAGTAGTAAAACCCCAGCTGTGAAAGGTAATTAGGATTTTCACGGCTGGATTTGTAAGAAAATTCTGCTCCCAAAACAGAAGATAGCTCCTGATCTGAGCTCAAACCTGCTGATGTCAAGCCAGGGACGCTCCACAAACAGCTAGTGTAAACAGTAGCAGATCTCCGTGTATCTAAGTTTGCATTATAGCAGAGGACAATGTCTCATCAGTCAGATGTAGTTTCTGGGACCTCTGCTAGTAGGTCAGATTGTTTTTTTCTGGGAAACGACGACAAGAACTAGTATTAGATTACTGGAGAACTTCAACCAAACTCTGACCCCTGCTAGCTGGATAGCACTGCCAAAGGCGCAGGCATGTTTGAGACTATTTGACACAGAAGACCCGTGAGCTGACCTGGAAACTAAGAACATTCTGTTAGCCTTTAGAACCAAAATTGATGCTGTTTGTGTTTTTTGTTTATTTCATTTGCGTGCAGGCTGCGCAGTGGTTAGAGCTGTTGCCTTGTGGCAAGAAGGTCCTGGGTTCGCTTCTCCGCCTGGGATCTTTCTGCATGGAGTTTGCATGTTCTCCCTGTGCATGCGTGGGTTCTCTCCGGGTACTCCGGCTTCCTCCCACAGTCCAAAAACATGACTGTTAGGTTAATTGGTCTGTCTAAATTGTCCTTAGGTGTGTGTGTGTGTGTGCATGATTGTTTGTCCTGTGTGTCTCTGTGCTGCCCTGCGATGGACTGGCTCTCTGTCAAGGGTGTACCCCGCCTGATTGCCCATTGACCGCTGGAGATAGGCACCAGCCCCCCCCCCGTCCCCCCCCCCCCCCCCCCCCCCGCGTGGACAAAGCGGGTTCAGAAAATGGATGGATGGATGTATCATTTGCGTGCTTGTAGCGCTTCCACCGAGAGCTCTCAGCTGACTATTAGCAAAGTCATACTGTCCCAATATAATTCAATAACCTAAAGATAAATAAAACTATGTGCTGCCAGTTTTACCCCTGTGTGTAGACTGAGAAACTGCATGCATGCGGTTTGTTGTTTTGCTGCTAATACAGTAGCAGGTGCAGCTGCATGTTTTTGCAATAAAAATGTTATGTTGTAATGGAATTCATGCATTAGTTTTTGTTTGCTTTGAACCCAGAGCAGACGTCACACGCCAGACGACATCAACACTGCATACTTTAGTTTTTGTTCATTTATCGTGAGTAATATTGATATCGCAATATTAAGCACCATTATCGAATATCGCAGGTTTTCCTAATATCGTGCAGCCCTAGTGTGGGGGGCCTTGTCTTGGCACACCTTGGGCCCTGTAGTAATAATTGATCATCACTGCACCGCCACAGCCTACCTGAGTATTGTTGCTGAACATGTCCATCCCTGTATGACCACAGCGTATCCATCTTCTGATGGTCACTTCCAGCAGGATAATGCATCATGTCATAAAGCTCAAATTAATAGAGCATCTTTGGGATGTGATGGAACGAGAGATTTGCATCATGGATGTGCAGCAACTGCGTGATGCTACCATGTCAATATGGACCAAAATCTCTGAGGAATGTTTCCAGTACCTTGTTGAATCTTTGCCACAATGAATTAAGGCAGTTCTGAAGGCAAAAGTTGGTCAAACCTGGTACTAGCATGTGTAGCGTAATCTCAGACACCTGCATGCACGCATTCATAATTCCATCATCCTCAATTTAGCACATCCAACACAAGGTCTATTTGTGCAAGCTTAAAATATCAACTGTTAAAGATTGTCCAACAAGGTTGCCAACGTTGATATTTTTCCTATGATTGTCATTTCAAATCGTTAGTTTAAATTGAAGAATTAAAACTCTTAAAATTTAAACTTGTCTTTTCATTGAACTGAAACACAGACAAACAGATATAATCGTCAGTTTATTGATGAAAACAACCTTTGAGTCGTCTTATCTCTATAAATTTGGTTATTGATTTGTTAAAATTAATATTCCAGATTATTATGTAGAATGGTTCGTCTTTCATAAAAGAGCCAACAACCACTACGCTACACATGGGTATCCAATAGGGGTTGTATCAACTAGTCGACTAGTCGACTTCACTGCTCTGTAGTGACTTTTTATGCCTGTCATCGACTAGTCGCTGTCACGTGATAATGACTGACAAGATGCAGTCCTCGGAAAAGACAGCAGGTGACGAACCCCTGCACGTTGGGAGGCGACGCGCTGTGCCAGAGCGTCGGTATCTGACGCCCACGGTAAAACGGACATTTGACCAAAATGTGACCTTAACCCTCTTGCAATTTAACTTTCCCCTCACCCCCATCCTAATCTTAACCAGCTTGTACATGCAACGTTCTGATCGTTGATGCGCTCCAGACATCTGCGTCCTGAGCACGGCCACAGTAACACTATTAAATCAGGTGTCGCCACCTCAAAAACTAATTTAACACGCAATCGTTCATGTCGGCTCATTTCCTTTTATGTTTTCTGTCTTTTTTTGTGCTTGATGTGTTTCGCTGCTGTGGAGCGGGGAGTGTCACCTGTTTTGTTCTCTGGTGACGCACCTTCACTGATGCGGCTGGCGAGCAGCGAGCAGTCCGCTGTTTTTGTGGTCGTAGATCTTTTAGAACTGCAGTTCAAAGGTAACTCATAAGGTGAATATATATGAACCCAGGTAGCAGTTTCTCTTTAGGATTGAGAGGAGATGCAGGAAGATAATAAACAGGCAGGACAGAAAAATAGTCAAATAAAACAAGTTAGTTTTTTTACCTGGTGGTTGAAACAAACAGACACCAATGAAGGTAATCAGAAGTGAGGAACAGAAAATGAAATAATTATTTTAATGTTTAGAGCAGCAGAAACTCTGAGAGGCTGCAGGCGCATCAGTGAGTTTGCGTCCGCTGCGCAGGGGGAGGGGGAGAGGGCTGAAGCAGAAACTACCGTTGTTAAAAGAAATGTGTTTAACTTTGAAAATGTGGACGCAATTTTCATTGTCAAAAGCACCAGCGAACCCCCCCACGTCGGAAACAAATAAACGCTTGGTCACCCATCGTCAGTTTTAGCCGCTTCAGGTGTGTGACATCATCAACGACTAGTCGAAGTCAACTTCATTTTCAATACTTGATGGTCGACTTTAAAAAAAATTAAGTCATGCAACCCCTAGTATCCAATAAAGTAGCCAGTGAGTGTATATTGATAAAACTCTGAAGAAAATGTAATCAATAGCTTACCAGAATAACTATTCCTAACTTACTGGGAAGCTGCAGTAGGTCGCTAACTTGTTGTTGTTTATAATAATCCAAGCTGGCACTGAGGTTCTCCCGGTCCCAGGAGGACAATCTATTGTTGAAATATGTGGATCATCTTTTAATATCATACCTGTGTGTGTGTGTGTCGTAGCTTTCCCAAATGGCTTGTTTTTTCCTTACCGGAGATAACAAGGTTAGCTGTGTTGCTGCAGTCATGCTAACTTGTCAGGAGTCCAGATGGACCGTAGCGGTTTCAGATGGCGGTTTAGACGTAGGTTAATATTATAGATCAAACCTGTGTTAGTTAAACATGCATGTAGGATGTGGACAAATGGCTCAGACTTTTCCCTGAAGATGTAAATGCAATTTTCTGTAATAACTGAGAGCACAAAAGTAAACAAAATACAGCCAAGATGTGGAGTTTGGCTTGGAGCGCGTCGCAGAACCAGAGCGCATGCGGGAAGATTCCTCCGACTGAAGCAAGCGTTTCCCAAACTCTGTCTCTCAGAGGGACTTGTCACTTAGAAAATGTTCCCTGATTATGAAACTTTGGCTGAATAGCGCTTGTTCCTGTCTCCAATGTGGCGTCGCATCCATAAGCCTGTCTGAGGAGAATCCCAGAATCTCACATCCTCTTCAGCTCAGAAAGCGCGGATATGATTACGCACAAGCGTGACGCGTCAACCCGGTCTCACAGTAAGACCGGGTTGGACCTGTTCAGGTTTACGCAGACAGTCTTTACATTTAGAATTAGATTACAGATGTAACATTTATGCAGTAAAATATAAAACATTTTATTTAAATATCCATTCATTATTTTACAAGCACAGAGAGCCGCATCAGATGGATGGAAGAGGCGCGGGTTGCCGACCCCCGCACTAGTTTATCATGACATGAGAATTGAAATGATTAATTAATTGTCAGATCAGACAAACCAGGGTCTTTGGAGCAACGATCAAAGCTTAAAGTAGCAATCGTACATATTTAGCTGAATTTGTAATCAACAGGGTAGTTTGCATTTTTATTTTCAGATTTAGAGGCAGCGATCCTAGAGAGAGAGCATGGATTGTAGGTCAGACACTAGTTTAGGTCATTTAATCCTTTTGTTTGTTTTTTAAGTTTTTAATGACTACATGTTTTTAGCTGAAGGCTTTACCTTCTCAGTTACTAAAGGAACGTTATAAACATTTTTGTTTACACTGTAATTGCACTTTACCCTCAAAGATGTAGGCCTTGGATGTGAAGTAGAGTCCGATGGGAAGCGTGACCATCAGGACGGTGAAGAACAGCAGAGTCTTCAGGGCTGAAACCAACGAGCCTTCGTTTCTATGAGGAACACGAGAGAATTGGCGTTGGCGAGGTGAAACACTTCAACACATTTATATGAGGAACACCTTGTCGCACTATGACAGTAAAAACCTTGATCAAAAATGGCGTTATGGAGACAATATAGCGCACCTTAACGTGTTGTGTTTATTAGTGTCGAACTAAAGGCGGATTTACGTGCCTAGCTTGTTGCTAACAGTTGCTATCTGATGATTAGTGACATTTCTCACCCTCTAAAATACGGAGGAGGTCCAGCTGAGGAGTCTGACGATGGTCGGACAGAGTCGTCCATCTCTGCTTCCCTCTGGAGTGACTCGCTGAAATAAAAAGGCTTAAATTTGAGCAGTTTTTTTTTTGTTTTGTCTGACAGTATTGTACTCTCTATCAACGCTTCCCGAACAGTCACGAGACTATCACGTGATGGGGCTTGTTGCCAACAAATCTCGCGAGGTTATGTTTTGTCTGTCGAAGCGTGGCTCATTGGAGCAGTAAGTTATGACAGTGGCCCAGAGATCAGGGCAGTTCCTGGAAAAACAAGAGTCTGTTACTAATCTGTTCAGGAACTTTCCTGTTTTCTACAAACGGATTCTTGTAATTTATTTGTTTATTCATAAATGGTAGGGGAAAAAAGTAGAGCTTCAAGTTCTTAAATTAAAGTATTCCCAGCATGGTAAAAGGAAACAGTACAACAGCTGTATGCGGTTCATAGTTATATTGTACAGGCTTGGTTAATGGAGTCATTTATCAGGACAAACAAACCAACTTTATAACAATCATCATATTTAACAAGTGTTTGTGCAAAATTACGGTCATGATCACATGCTTGTGAAAAACAAATGTTAATAGTCACAAAGACTGCAGCTTCAGTTTAAATGACAAGTGTGACGCCAGCAGAGTGCCGTGCTTTTTTGAAGGTGGACCAGCTGAATTACAAGTAATAGCAAAGTCCGTTTTACCATTAAAATAAACGTAATTAGCACACTACAGTTGTCTAACCAAAGCATAATGCACTGGAAGGATGATAAACTATTCCAGATAAAAAACACCAAATGTATGTGATAATAACAACAATAATAATAATAATAATAATAATGATAAAAATAACAATATTTATTATTATTATTATTATTATTATTATTATTATTATTATTATTATTATGTTGATGCTGCTGCAACAGAGGTGTTTGCACATCATTGCATCCTTTATATGTGTGTGTGTGTGTGTGTGTGTGTGTCTTGTGTTTCGTTTATCTGTATACAAATACATCCTTTGATTGCCATCACTTCATACTCATGCAGTGACATTAAAGCTCTGTGATGCTGATTTATGACCGACTCACCTTGTGGTGAATGGACAGCCGTCGCACAGCTCCAGAACCAGTGGACCAGTTGTGTTTCAGGGTTGAAGCCTCCACGTCACAGACTGACCCTTTCTGCTCCAGTTGGCTCATGCCCATGACACCATGCTCAGCAGGTTGCCTAAACCACATTTATTCTAAAGAGACCCGCCGGAAGTCATTAAAACAACTCAGAGACAGGTGCTCAAATTCACCTGCATTCTTCCTCTCTGGGACTGTTTTACTACTAAATATTTGCGCAGACTGTCTCTGGCTCTTAAGATGCAGAGAACTGTCATTCTGAATTATATTTTGAAACGTGTTTCTGGATGAACAAACAAAAGCAACGTCAAACATGATAATGTGCTTTCTGTTGTTTTCTACTATCGTGCTCTCAGGTGACAGAAAGGAGCCGGAGGGCTCGGGTGCTTTAAACACAACGTCCTTGATGCAGCCGTGTTATTGTCTGCTACACTGAACTACATTACTCTGTTCATCAAAGACCGAGAAAGGGTTCACCTTGATCTGTAAGTGAGAGAGCAGCTAATCGCTTATGTGCAGTAAGACGAAATGAGGTTTGTTTCATTTTCCCTGACCTGTAGCCATGTGACACTGAGCTTTATTGTTGACAGCTGATTGGAAAGAGCCCCCGCTCTTTTGTTCTCCACATTAGTGCTTTTTGTGATTTTAATGACTATTATTTTCTTTGTTTCTATTAAATCCTAATTACACCCAGCTTCACATAAATAGAACATTATATCAAATGGATTTAGCTCTTTTTGTTCAGACATGCTCATCAACTTCAGTGTTGCACATATGAAACAGATTTATTCATCTCCTTTGTAAAATCACAATTGTATTTATATAGCCAGAACGTTTGTGCAAATCAACCATCAGTCCTTCAGGTTTTTAGAGAATTTTCATTTACATCTGGATATTTTACCCAAAGTCAATATAGTCACACCAGTTGTGTTGATTCAAAAATAGCAGATGTTTTTTTCATTTGTGTCTTCAACAGACAAAACAAGTGAGAACAGTCTCAATTCCTACTGCTGAGATGTTTGCTGTTGAAAATCTGATTTTCAGCACAAATAAAAACAAACAGAAAAAAACACATGAGCAGAAGGAATACATGAAACCTTTCTTATTTATTTAATATTTTTGTGGTCTCTGTAATATTTATTCAGAGAATCCAAAACATTTAACAAAAAAAACTTTTTAAATTAATAAAATAAAAGATAACCAAGGTGTGGATTGCATCGTTACATGTTTCATCTCATCATTATATATTTACCTTTGATTGGAAGCTACCTGACTGCATCTGCAGAGGTCCAGGCATGTTTGACTGACTGAGAATCGGGTCAGATTTGTTCCTCACACACATTTGAAGCCAACTGTAGAGCAAACCGCTGCAGCCACAATCAGGAGTGATAAGAGTTCTGAAGCTGGCGAAGGCGTGTCCATAGAAGTGTGACCTGTGGGTAATTTGCAGCCTTCAGAGGGATTATCTGCAGCCCTCAAATATAAAAACTGTAGAATTTTTTCCACCAGCCTTCAGAGTCGCTGCAGACCTTCGTAGACTTGCAAACCTAATGAAAAATGCGTCTCTGGAATTGTCCCCCTGTAGCCATCTGTAACTCTGACTTGCTCTCCACCTTTAAATGTGGACTCAGAACACAACATCAGACTGCCTACTGTCCGTGAAACCTTTTAACTGCACTTGTTTTATGATGTAGTTCTAACTTTTGAAGGTGTTTTTGCTGTTTTTGACTCGTAGCTTGTTTTATCGCTGTAAACTGTCCTTGTGTTTTGTGAAAGGCGCTTTTAAATAAAATGCATTATTATTATTGTTGTAATTATTATTATTGTTGTTATTATTGTTATTATTATATTATAAATAAATTAAATATGTTTTAAACTGAGAAGGTGACGACATTTGTTATTTAGCAACCCTGTGTGTTTTCATTTTGTGGCGATTAAGACCACAGACCCTCCCTAAAAAACAGACTTTCAAAAGCACCATTCACACACAGCAAACATTATTAAATAAAGACCGATTCAGATCCTGATCTTGTTGCTGATAATGGACTCAAATTTATCTTCCTGGCCAAAAAAATAAATAAAATAAATAAACCAATCTACTCCTAATATGCGGGAAAACTCTCATTTATTAAGACAGACATATGTGTGCTGTCTGTGAAAAGTTGCAGATCTTTGTCTACAAAATTATATTTAAAGAAGTTTCATCTTGGATTGGAAACATGAACTTAATCCAACACAGCAATCTCATCCTGTTTTGTTCCTCGGGAAATTCCAGTGATCAATGATCACTAATCATGGTATCATTAATCAAACAGCAGACAACAGTTCCAGTGTTAGTGAGAGGTGTGTTTTCACTGTGAAGCTAAATTAGCATCAAGCTGCAGCATAACCACACTGATCAGAAGATGGACTGGGTGAAGACGTCTGTCACGTGACCAGGACACAGTTGTTGTTGTAACACACACGAGTTATAAATATGAGTGTTTGCTCCAGGAAATAGCCTCATCCGGTCTGGATGTTCCCAACATTCCTGAATGTTTTTCTCCTGAAAGATGTTTAAATTAGTCGATTGTTGCATAACAGTGAATACTGTGCTTACAGCATCACTATATGGCAACCGGTTATGTTATATAATCAGATTTGTTTGTACAAATGCCCCTGGAAAGAAAACAAGAGAGAGGTTTTTATCAAATATAATCTTGGTCTGTTTATAGAGTAAACTCCTACTATCAGTTTGCAGGTTAGCTTCATCTTAATAGAAACTCCTAAACTTCAGTTCATACAGATGTAATTGTATACTGTGTTGTTAGGGCTGCGCAATATGGAAATAGTCCTTTCATGATATTAATTTTCATATAGTTTGATATTGATATATTTCACGACATAAAACAAATCACTATTTATGTCCATCTTCAATTTTCTCTGGTGCTTTAAAGTGAGATTTTAAAATATCAGAAGATAGTTTTTTTATTTTCAAAAGCTGAACATGTCAAAAAAAATCTAAACTTGTGAATACATAAAAGATGTTCATTTTTAACTTTAGAGGAGAACAGAACAGGCATCAAACTACAAGTTCTCTACATTTATCTGCTTGTTTTAAAAACAGTTTCTTTAAGAATAAACAATAAAAAGAAATAACAGACAAAAACAAAAGTAATATTTAATGTCAGTTACATTTTTAGCTGTTTTAAAAGAAAATATATGAAAACAAAATAGACATCATCTATGCTCAGAAAGTACAGACATTTAAATGCTTTAAATCCTCCATTGCTGCAGCAATCTGTTTTGCAGGAATCAATTCATTTAGTCTGCTGAGCTCTGTATGTGTTTGAGCTTGTCTTTTTCTTCTGGTTGGAGTGAAATAAATGTTACATGTAAAGTAAACATCTTCAAACTTGCTCATTTCTGGGATTATAAAGTTAGATCCTTTGCTCCCGTGGTGGTTTACCCTGATTTTTTCAGTATCTGTGCTCAACATTATTAGCGGCGCAGCTACGACACTTCCCAAAATAAGTCAACATTACTTAATAGTTTGGCCCCTTATCTTCAGCATCAGTCTCTCTGTCCTCTATTTTTATCAGCCATGTAGCCTGTTTCCCGCAGCAGCAAGCTAAAGCTACACTAGCATTAGCCGTTAGCGTCTGTCGGGCTGCAGTTTTTTTTGTGTTGAAGAACTATTGACCCATTCTCATATGTCTATAGAGGAAAAGATATTTCAAAATATATGTGTTGCTACACTAGCATTAGCCGTTAGCGTCTGTCGGGCTGCAGTTTTTTTTTTGTGTTGAAGAACTATTGACCCATTCGTCTATAGAGGAAAAGATATTTCAAAATATATGTGTTGCAATCATTCCATGGCAGCGCTCTTTGTCTGGTTCACTTTACTGCTATCTTGGTAAAAATATTCAGAAATTCCTGCAGGATTTCCCTCCAGGCTGCACCAGCAGTGCTGCTTCTAGCTACTGCTGGGGTCGTTTATGCTCATTAAATACATGTAATTCAGCCGTTTAATGAGAAACTGAAAATTACATGAAGATGATTAAAATAATAATAATGCCAGTGGGTGCTCTATGAAAATTAGGAGGTTATCTCAGGGCTA